GAAAGGAAAGGAAAGGAAAGGAAAGGAAAGGAAAGGAAAGGAAAGGAAAGGAAAGGAAAGGAAAGGAAAGGAAAGGAAAGGAAAGGAAAGGAAAGGAAAGGAAGGCAAAACAAAGCAAAAAACAACAGACTGGAATTGTCTGGCAGCTACACATTTCTGTAATATCCTTCTACAATCCTGATGTCATCATACTTGCTCACTATTTTAATTGCTTGTCTTTCTTCCTCTGGATGACAGAGTGTCATGAGGGCACAGACTCTATTTAGTCTTTACTGTACTGTCAGGACCAACACGATGTTATCTCTTGAGTATAGTGAATTTATGAATGATTAAAAAGATAAAACAAAACAAACGAGCAAGAATAGGTGCTGTGTTCAGGAAACAGTGTGACTGAAACAAACGGCTTGAAGATACCAACAGAGGCAAATCTACCATTCAGCAATTATTTCCTGAATGCTGATACAAAGAAGTATATGAACTATAGTTCAAGGGATATAGCAGTAACAGCACAGATGTTTCTGTTTTCTTTGTATTTACATTATAAGAAATGATATTGGATGTGTGGGCTAAGACTAGCATAGAGAAAAACATCTAAAGGCGAAGCAAATAGTACAGATTAGCTGTAACAAAGAATGTAACTAAGGAAGTTCTGGGCTGAAAAAAAGAACTTTTGACACAGTAGTAAGCAAACATATTGCAGAGACTATTGCACTATGCTAAAAGGTGACCTAATTTGCTTTCTTCTGTAGAGAAATAAATACACAGAGCAGAGCAGAAGTCGGACTTCTGAGCAAGCCATCAGACATAGCTTGCAGAATAAATAGAGTGGTCTGCTTAATCAAGACTGAAACAAAAATGCCAACAGAGGCCTGTCTGAGAACATACTGAGGAAAAGTGACTGTCTAAAATACTCAACTTATGCCCCAGTTATAAAAAGCAGGCACACAAAATGGACTACAGCTAGCAAGCTGGCTTAACTGCCACCAAGCTTGATTACCAAAGTTAAATTTCCAGGAGTCCTCCCCTACATTTCTCCTCTTCCTTTATCCTCTCTCTCTGTCTCTCTCTGTCTCTCTCTCTCTCTGTCTCTCTCTCTCTCTCTCTCTGTCTCTCTCTCTCACACACACACACATACCATCAACTTACTAAAGCAGTATAAAACAGTGAAATGCAACTCTATACATTTTTTTCTGGTAGCACTGCTATAATTTTGAAAATTTTCAAATATAGTCTTGAATAAATGTAAAGAAGTGTAAAGTACAAAAGAGAGAAACAGAAACAGTGAGACTTCCTCACTCTTGGAACATTATTCAAAACTTAAGAATCAGACTGGAAAGATGAGCTCTAGCTCCTCTTAAAGAGGACCAGGGTTCATTTGTTAGCACCTGCATGGTGACTCACAATAATCTATAACTCCAGTTCCAGGAAATCTGACCCCTGTTCTGACCTCTGTAGGTACCACCATGCATGTGGTTCACATACATACATACATACATACATACATACATACATACATACATACAGGGAAACACTCATACACTTGAAATTTAAAAAAAAAATCTAACAGCAACAATAATAACAAATAAAACTATTAAAAAATACTAAGGGAATACCCTTAAGACTATTAACAAATCCTAAGGGAATACCCACTCTGTGAACAGTTCAAAGGTGAAGAGAATACTATTAAATCTCTAGCATAGGCAACACATCATTAAAGCTTAAATTAAAACAGAAAGAGAAGTTTATAAGTAGTTTATAAGGTCCTGGGTTCAATCTCTAGTACAACAAAGAAAAGAAGGAAAGGAGGGAGGCTGGGAGAGAGAGAACTGGCAAGAGAGAGGAGTAGAGAAAGAGAAAGCAGGGATGGAAGACAGAAAGAGGCAGATGAACTAATTTTTAATCTGGGATAGATATTTTAAAACATATATTAAATACATCAAAATTATTTCCTAAAGTCTCATTTTTTAGTCAAACAAAACTGCTGATAATTTGATATTTATGATTAACAGAATATTAATATTTAATATACCATTTATATTTGTATAAACTGTGGCATACTTTATAATACAATGAAATCTTTTACATGCAATTTTTAATATTTATTTATTATATATACAATATTCTGTCTGTGTGCATGCCTGCAGGCCAGAAGAGGGCACCAGACCTCATTAGAGATGGTTGTGAGCCACCATGTGGTTGCTGGAAATTGAACTCAGGACCTTCAGAAGAGCAGGCAATGCTCTTAACCACTGAGCCATCTCTCCAGCCCTTTTACATGCAATTTTGACAATTATTTATCCCCTTTTCATAAAAAACAAGCAAGATTTTAATATTTTAAATGTCAAGATATCAAGGTGATTATGGCTAATAATATTGCATATTTGGAAATGCTAGGGTTGCATACTTCAAAGGATTATCACCAGAATTACAAAATAGTAAGAATGTGAGATGATGCAAATACTGGGGAGCTTGATTCCACAAGGCATGCAAAAATCAAAGCAGCATGTGGCATACCAATGTATACATACACACACACAAACATATTTATACACACACATACACGTAAACATTTTACCTGTCAAATTAGAAAATTTAATGACTATAAGTTGTTCACAGCTACACTGTGAGGCTGTAAATGAAATCATGGTACCCAAGAAGCACTTTATTTTATTCTGACAGATACAGACCTTTATATATAAATTATCTGATACCTAATTCATGGTAAAAAAAAAAAAAAATCTACCTCTCCCCAATAATACTACCATTACTATAAAACAAAAACATAGTAAATGATTTCATGTGTTTAAAAAAAAAAAAAGGAATATCTTGCAAAGACTCACAAGAAGCAGAGAAACATCTGCCAAGAACTACAGAATGAAATACAAGATCTGCCAAGTACAAACTAAGATAAATTTCTTCAAGTAAGCTTTCCACAGCAGATGAAGGATGGTAATACCTTCACCAAGGATTAGCCCAATTTTATTAAGCAAACCACAATCAAATGCTAGTATACTCACGAAATTGCTTCTTCTCTATTTTCTCCCCAGGAAAAGCAGTGACCGAACTGGGAGTCAGCAAACTCATGAAGTCCCCCAGCAGCAGCAACACTGAAATAACCCCAAACGTTCTTATTGCTTCGAAAATTAAGTTCCTGAACTGTTCCCGAGCTGGGCTTAAACCCCTGTTAGAAAGTGAAGAATATGAGAGACTGCATCATACTTCCAAGGAAAAGAACACTGGTATTCAGGATTCAGGCTCTGGGATCAAGCACAGCTAACCCAAAACCCCTGCAAGCCAAGGCCCAGTGCCATAGTCTCACAGATGCTTCCTGAGTCACTAAAGTGAAATTAAATGGTCAGTGCAACAACCATCAAACATCTGTTCTCAGAATCTTTGATAAATTTCCCTCTCAAAATGAAGTTCCAAGGCTTTTAAAAAGCATGGTCTCAGACACTTGTCTTAATATTAAACCGTTTAAATGAAGGGTTACCTCATCTGGGTTTTCACTGGTGATCCGAGCAGCAATTACATGGCCCCTTGGGCAAGGAACATGAGCAGAATTTTCAAAATCAATGGGAGCATCACCCCAAGGAGATACACCGTACATCATACGAATATCTTTGATCCTAAATAGAGGGATCCCCATGGCAATCTGAAAAGTAATAAAACACATGTAATTTTCCACAGCCCCCTTTTGTTAACAGATGGAAGCTATCAAAATACATAACAGTTTTTGCATTTTTTGAAGTTACTACAAAAACACTCTACTTTTGTATTCCATGTTCTACACTTATCTAAATTACACAAAATAGAATACAGTGCTAAGGGTTACTTTCTAGGATCATCCCCCTTTCCTACAATATTCCCAAATTCCTAATGCAACAGAGATTTTCTTCTATAATCATTTCTCCATGGATGAATAACAATAAAATTATCCAAGACAACAGTCAGTCAAGAAGTTCAGATAGCTAAAAAGTCTTAACATTATAGTTGTCTCTAAGTATGCAAACTACTGAAAAACGTAAATGAGCCTTTAGACCTTTACTTGGGAAGGGCCAGTGGCCGTTCCTACAAAGAGAGGACAAGAAAAAGTAACTGGAGAAGGATATGAAAGTACAAAACAAAAATGTTTGAAAATATCATAATGAAACCTTGTCTGTTTGTTTGTTTGTTTGTTGAGACAGGGTCTTACTATGTAGCCCTAGCTGTCCTAGAACTTGCTAACGCCAGGGAGTGGCAACTCACACATTTAATCCCAGCACTCAGGAGGCAGAGGCAAGCAGATCTCTGTGAGTTCAAGGACACCCTGGTCTACAGAGCGAGTTCTAAGACAGCTAGGGCTGTTACACTGAGAAATCCAGTCTCTAAAAACAAAACAAAAAACTTGTTATATAGACTAAGCTAACCTCGAACTCACAGAGATCTGCCTGCTTCTGCCTCTGCCTCTGCCCCTGCAATGCTAGGATTATAGGAATGTACCACCACACCCCCAAAAAATGTTATTTATATATTAATATGCCCTAATAAGAGCCAATGAGATGGTTCAGCAAGTAAAGTCACTCACAGCAAAGGCTGATTATTTGAATTTAAAACTCCAGAACCCATGGTAGAAGGAGAGAACCAATTCCCAACAGTTGTTATATATCTTCCAAACACATACTGTGGAAGATGCACACCCATACACACAAATAAATGTTAAAAAAAATATAAAGAAACCCACAAAAACCCTTGAATTTTTAAGAGGACCATGCAAGATGTTCTCATTAAGACCCAAAACTAGGTCATACAAGATTATCAGCTAGGTACTCTGTCATGTACTTATAGTCCAAGTGATTTGAGAGGCTGGGGTAAGAGGACTGCTTGAGATTAGACGCTCATTGGTATCCACACTAAGTTCAGCATCAATGCGGTCTCTCCAGGGAGCAGAGACTACCAGGCTGCCTAATGGGGTGAACCAGCCCAGTCTGAAAATGAAGCAGGTTAAAAATAGTATCTAATCTCATCATTTACTTCTGCTATTTACCATAGTATTTGTTTCCCAGGCTGAAATAAGACCACAGAATTAATAGCTACTACTTTATACATTATTTATACATAAGTAATACTACAGTCTTTCTTGGAAAATATTGACCATTACCTCCAAACAGAGTTGCTTCAATAAATAAGACTAGAAACAGATATGGGGATTAACACCAACATTATAAAGTTTACTATAATTAAATAATTAAACAAAGCAGATTGTTTTAAAAAAATTTATAGTATGTATATGGATGTTTTATCTGGGCACCACATGCAGTGACTGTAGAAGCCAGAAGAGGGCATAGGTCCCCTGAAACAGGAATTAGAAACTATTGTGCACCACCAAATGGGTATTGGGAATCAAATCTGTGTCCTCTGGAAGAATAGCCAGTTCTTTAACCACAGAGTCATCTCTCCAGACCCAAAGTAGATTGACTTTAAAGAAAGTCAGTCTTTAAACGCAATCTTTCTTCTCAAAACAGTTTATTGGCTGTTTCTAGCTAGAAGATACAGTAGTATTTTTTTTTATGTTTGAACAAATCAGAAAACTAATTCACATTACTGAGAATGAAGATAGGTGAGGCTATGCTTATATGCTCTTTTCTCCCATCAGTCTTTCAGGTATCTCTGAGTTTCCCAGATTTTCTCATCTCTAACTTGAGTCCAGGTCAGGATGACTCACCTGAAGCTGTGCTGCAGGAAGATTGACATCGGCCACCATCTCTGTACAAGGATGTTCAACCTGCAGCCGTGGGTTCAGTTCCAAAAAGTAGAAGCTTCCATCCTGGCTATATAAGTATTCCACAGTACCAGCACTCACATAACCAACCATTTTGGCAAGTTTTACGGCACACTTAAAGGAAGATAAGAAACTTGTTTAAGTTTCTCACTTTGTCCAATCATTGCATCACTATAACTACATACAGCTGTCAACTACCCAGTGCTTGTACAAGCCACCAAAGAAACTGAACCACATTTAAGAAAATCACACACCCGTCTGATTATTATGCAATATCCTGGGACATGGATGACAAAATCAGTGAAAAGTGGGAGAAAGGAGTGTTTGCAGATTAGATTGCAAGCAACCTCCCATCAGACAAAAGGGCATAGAGGGAAAACACAGATGGTAGCAAACTCTTCATTGTTTTCTAATTTCCGGTATTCCCAATATATCATCATATATGAACCATTGCTATTTGGCTAAAGATTGGGTTTTCTAATCTCTCAGGTAGATACCAAAAAATCTCTTATAGGGACTATGTTTTCACCAACGGAATTAAAGCATTGGTGAGATGCATAAACATACATATGAGATTTCAACCATGCAGAAGATGATGCAGTTAAGAATAGCAAATATAAAAGACTTGAATCTCAAGACGACTCATGAAATTTAACTATCACATCAGCCCTGTAAAATTTACCTCAAACTATGATGATAAAGAAACTTTTATCTCCATAGGGTCAAATTTTTGGTTATTTTTATTATAGCAACTTGTATCCTAACCAAAATGTTCTCTAGGAAGTGCAGATGGATTGCTGCTATTTTAAAAATTAAAATATGTGATGATGTACTAAGGTAGAATTAACAAGAAAACACACTACAGACTGGAAGGCTGGGAGGTGAGCTCCTTGTTACAGAATGACACACTTAATACATTAATTCCTACAAAATAGAATGCTTGCTACATATCATCTAAATCTGAAGAAAAAAGGTAAGGACTGGGGCTGTAGTTTAGTGGATAGGGTGCTTGCCTAGCATGCACAAGGATCTAGCACCACATAAACCAGGTGTGGAGACACATATCTTGAGAGGGATGAAGGGAGGAGGATTTGAAGCTCAAAATTATCCTCAGAGTTTGAGTTCAGACTGAGATACACAAAACTCTACACTGCCCCCAAGAAAGACAGAGACAGAAAGAGACACAAAGTTTAAGATTCAAATGCATGCTCATAATCCCAAAAACTCCAAAAGCAAAGGCCAGCCTGCTTCTACTAGATGAGTTCCAGGCCAGCAAATGGTGACACTTTCAAACAAACAAAAAATATTTAAAAAGTTGAAAAAGAAAACTGCTTTTACAGCCCAACGCCAAGAAATTAAATTCTTTAACCAAAGCAACTCAGTGTCAAACAGATTAAGGGAGTTGTTTTAGTTTCTGCTGGCTTCAAAATAGTCAAGTACATAGTTTACAGAGAGGTAAACTATGTACAAAACCAAATAAAAGAAGTTTTTACATCTAAAAGAAATTACTACATCTGATTATTCCAACTTGAAACTGAACATAAGTAATCAGCTTAGAAGGTTACTAAATATTTGAGGGAATTATATTTCTGAACAGCCCATAAGCCTGTCCTTCAAAATATAGTGACTAATGAGTAAAATCATATTTGTACTTCTAATCCTGCACCAGTGAGAATCAGGCTATGAAATTTTCCCCAAAGGAGGTAGAGCCTGTAAAATCCATGTTACAGAAACTAATTAAGAGTCAATTCAGGTGTCTTAGAAGACAATGGCAAAGGAGCTTACTTCCTACAAGCAGAACCAGGGGCAGCCAGGTCTAACTGAGGAAGTACTCCACTATGTAACAGGGACAGCACAACTCCTGCACAGAAAGATTTGTTAGCTTCTGTTGGCCAATGATTGATGTGTATCATGCACGTTTCCAAAGAGAATTCTATAGCTTCCATTCTACCACTGCATAATAGGTATACAGGGAGAAAAGACAAAACTCTTTTTTTTTAGATCCCTGGCCCATGAGCAGAAAGGAAAGTAGCTCACCTAGAACTCTCAGTAACCTAAACACACTTATTCTGATATGCCTATCTTACAGAGCTAAGTGACTGTGGTGACTTCAGTCTGTTTTCCTTAGAGAAACACATGTGTTCTCAGCCTGAACTAACGAACAGGAAATGGGTAGCAAAAATAAGCTAAGGCACAGGTTACTCCAGGTCTCCAACAACTTTTCTTCATCTTTTTAGGGAAGGTTTTCTCAAATTTCAGCTAGCACATGGTCATCCAGCTAGTGACTATAACTCCTAACAATTCTTATGCTGGGTTATGATGAAATTTTGTGCAGAGGAACATAAGAAGTGTCATATATGGCTTATTTATCATGTTATTATTTGCTTGCCCTCTAAGGGCCCCTGCATCCTGGCTACAACAGGAACATAATGATGGTGTTTGCTTTATTATCTGATGTGGGATGTTCTTCTGTATGTGTTACTTTTATTGGTTGATGAATAAAGCTGTTTTGGCCAAAGGCTTAGGAGAGAACAGTCAAGCAGGAAACCCAAACAGAGATACACAGAGAGTAGGTGGAGTCAGGGAGACACTATGTAGTTGCCAAAGGAGAAAGACCTCAGCCAGAACTTTACTGGTAAATCACAGCCTCTTGGAGATACACAGATTAATAGAAATGGATTCATTTAAGATATAAGAGCTATCTAAGAATATGCCTGAGCTGTTGGCCAAACAGTGCTGTAATTAATATAGTTTCTGTGTGATTTTTTTAAGTATGGGTGGTCAGGAAATGAAAGAGCAGTCCCTGTTTTGTTTATTATCAAAATTCTGACACCATATAACAGCAAAGGTTGGTAAAACTTTTTGGTAAAGGATGAGATAGTAATAATTTTCAATTTGGTGAGCCATAGTCTCTATCACAGCTACTCAGTTCTCTCACTTTAGCAATAAACAATCAAATATAATATATAAATTATTGAGCATAAAAAGTTGAGCATAAAAACTAAAATTTTATTTACAAAAGAAAATGGCAGACTGGATTTGGTCTGTGAGCTAAGCTATAGTTTGTCAAGCCCCATCTTATGGAAGGGTAGAACAATAAACCTTAGTCTCGAGTAGAAGCCTATATACGAACTAGGATGACAGAGATCATTAGGAAGTTAGACCTCATTAAAATTTTTTAAAAATGTTTGAGGCATCCCTATTACAGCAGATGAGTCAAAATAAATAGAAAAAAAGCTGAGACAGAATATAGCTCAATTTGTTTTGAACTCAGAATGAAGGAAAATGAATCATTAATAACATAAAGAGTGGGTTATTCTCCCACGAGAGGAAAAACAAAGATCATGTTCATGTCCCTAAGCTACAACTATTTTCAAGGCACACTCATGACGAGGACATCCTTCTTTATATAAAAGTATTAAATAATGTAAGCTCACAGATACCTAGAGGACTTTATATGATAAGATAATGAATTTAAATGAAATCAGCTGAAGATACTTTCTTTTTAGACAAGGTCTCAGTGTACAGCACAGGAAAGCCTAGACTTCTCCAACTTCCAAATTCAGCCTCCCAACGGCTGAAATCCTAAGTACAATCACCATACCTGGAAGAAGACTTGATGTTAGTCAACCCAGCAAACTATACTTGCTCTTCATGAACTTGTTAAAAATCCCAACTTGTTTCTTATCTACCTTATTCAAAATAGTGCATTGGCTTTTTGTTGTTGTTATTGTTGTTGGTTTTGTTTTGTTTTTTAGGATTAACTATTTTTAGACTTTGGTAAGTTTCTTGACAATTTTCCTAAAAGAACAACATCAGGATATGTTCCTCCAGGAAAAGGAAAAAAAATATTATCCATTATCGAGAATCACTGCTTAAATTTCTTCCATTCCCATAATTAGTGTGTGAGTTGAGTGAAATCTGTCTCTGTGTAGGAAAACAGCAATTAAAGCATTTAATAGACACACCTGTTCCATATGTTCAAATACTGCTGGGGTAGCAATAGCAGCAGGAGCTTCTTCAATGATCTTCTGATGTCTGCGCTGTACAGAGCAGTCACGGCCAAACAAAGAAATGGCATTGCCGTACTGATCTGCTAGAATCTGGACCTCCAGATGACGAGATTGTTTTGCTAGTCTCATTACAAATATAGGTGATCCAGGTACTTCAGCTTGAACCTGTGTTGGAAAAGGAAGCAAGAATTTTAACTAGTAAGGATTTTTTCTAAATTGAAAAGTTGGTTTGTTTTCAATAAGCAGTGCCAAAAGTTTCCAAGACTACATTAACAGTGGGAATACAGAGTACAAGAAATATAATCCATGCCTTTGTCTATCGTTAATGTGCAACATTCTTGGTTTTATCAGCAGTATTAATTAAGGAATATAAAAACATGAAACATTCAGTACGTTAAAATGGCAAACAAAATATTTGAAATCACACACATACACAAATCCCACAACAGGGCAAAAATATTACCATCTACTCAAAAGACAGTCACATGTAGATTGCTCCTAACTAGATGATTTTCTAATTTACATTATAATCACTATGAGGCTGAAGTCAAAAGTCTTCCATCTCGAGTTTTGAAAAACACTGTCAGTGGGTAGAAAAAACTTAGGTTAACAATTTTTGTCAGCACTTCAAATATATACCAATTTTTAAATTTTTCTTTTCTTCTTTCTTCCTTCCTTCCTTCCTTCCTTCCTTCCTTCCTTCCTTCCTTTCTGTTTCTAGTATGAATACTGAGAATTCAACTGTTGATCATCCTTCTTCTTTTTTTCCCCCAGGATCTCACTCTGTAAACCTGGCTGGCCTAGAACTCCAAGACCCATCTGCTTCTGTGTCCCCACTGTAGGGATTAAAGCTGTGTGCCACCATGCCTGACTCAACTGTCAATCTTCTTAGCCTTTTTCAAGTAATCCTTTTGTCCAACAGCTTTCAGGTTGTAAGTATATGTGTCTCTCTTTCTTTCCTTCCATTTATTTTTTTCTTTTTGAGGGAAGCAGGTGGCAGATTTACTCATAAGCTTATATGTGGTTTTTCTTGTATTCACCATGCTTGAGACTCAGGGTTTTGTTATTATTGCATGGCAGCTTTTATTAGTTTTAAGAAAATTTTTGAACATATTTTTCTCTGCTTTCAGCAGCTCTCTGCTCCATGATTTCTTCAACTATTGTTTTGCTTCATTCTCTTTCTCACAGCTGAGTCTTAAAGTTCATAATGTTAGAGAGTATCACTATAGTCCATTTCTTTATACTCCAGTTTTTCTGCTTTAGTTTGCTAGCTACATAAGTTACTTCAAAACTCAGTGGCCTACTGAAAATGTCAGCCATTTTCTTGCTCATGATGCTCAGCTGCATAGTTCTTCTGTGTCTTGCAAGTGGCCTCTTTCACAAATGTGGTGACCTGTGCTAACTGTTGGCTAGGAAGTATAAAAGGCCTCAACTGGAACGTGCTCATTTTTGTTATATGTAGTCTCTCGTCCTTCAATGTTCTTTTTTTTTTAAACTTTTATTTTATGTGCACTGGTGTGAAGGGTCAGATCCCCTGGAACTGGATCTTCAGACAGTTGTGAGTTGCCATGTGGGTGCTGGAATTTGAACCTGGGTCCTGTGGAAGAGCAGTCGGTGCTCTTAACCACTGAGCCATCTCTCTAGCCCTCCAATGTTCTTTTCAGTATGGTATACAGCACAGACCAAGCTTCTTCAATACAATGTTCTTAGAGGGTGAGGGCAGAAGCTGCATGTCCTCTTGAAGTCTAGACTCTAATATATGTGTGTAACTCTGGCCACCTAATACTGGTCTAAGCAAGCCACAAAACTGGCTTCAATTCAAGGAATCAGGAAAGATAAACCACCTCTTCATGGGAAGAACGGCAAAGTCATATTGCAAAGGGTATATACAGGAACAGGAGGAGTTATTGTGGCCATCTCTGCAAACAATGTACTATGGTCCACAATAATTCACAGACTTCCTACATGCTAGGTAGACTCACCCCCTCCCAAGACCCCCAAAGTCTCATCCAATCATGTCATCAGGCTTGACCTCCACTGCTTTCATGACTCATGTCCAGAAACAAAACAATCACCTTGGTTCGGCTCCTTAGCTACATTGTCTTTCATCCCTTAAAGACCTGAGAACTAAACAGACAAGTTATCTGCCCCAAACCCCAACACTTAATGATGAGACTGGAGAAAGAACTACAAAGGATATTCTTGCTCAAATGGAAAGGACTGAAGATACTCAGCAGACACTGGTTTCACAGCAGTCTCGAAATCTAAATGGGTATGTATTGGTTTTCCTTACTCAAAGAACAGAAATTTATTTATCTATTCATTTTTGGAGATTTCATTTTATGTGTATAGATGTTTTCCTTGCATTTATGTCTATGAATTACATGTGTGCCTGGTGCCCAAAAAGGCCAAACGAGGGTATCAGATTCCCTGAGACTATTGTGAGCCACCATGTGAGTGTTGGGAATTGGATCTTCTGAAAAAGCAGTTATTGTTCCTAACCACCACTGAGCCATTCTCCAGCCCCTTTTGCTTTTGAGACAGTGTCTCACGTTACCAGGCTGACTTCAAGCTCAGTAAGTTTCTGAAGATGACCTTGAAATTCTGATCCTCCTTCACTCCCTTTAGTGCTGAGATTACAGGCACATACAACCATGCTCAGGTTATGTGGTGAAGGAAATCAAACCCAAGGACTCAAGCATGGTAAAACAAGCATGTTACCAATTGAAGTACACTCCCAACTCTTCATCTTTTACAGTTACTCAGCATTAATATATACTTTCAGTATTTTGCTTTGAGATCTTCATAATCAGATTCATGACTTCATGAATTACATTATCTTTTTTAAGTTTTTTCAATTATCATTATTTAATTATATATATTTCTAAGTATGTCTGTGTGAGGATATATGCACATGAGTCCAAGTGCCCTTAGACGTCAGGTGAAGGCATCAGATGTCCTTGAGCTAGAATTACAGGCAGTTGTGAGGCACCTAATAGTGCTAGGAACTGAACATCTATCCATATATCCAGAAAGAAAAATCTAATTCAGTTTTTCTTTCTTGTCCCCTACAATATAGCTAAAATCAAGAATGACCTTAATTTCTGATCGCCCTGCTCTCTATGGACATACCACTGAACATGTCTAATCCCATCTGTTAATACCTATTTTTGTGTATACATATGTACATAAACCTGATTGTATTTGAGAAGACAGGCATGCACCACCATAAACAGTTCATAACACCAGGGCTTAAAACTAAAGGCACCCTACACAAAAAACTAACATTCTACTAACTAAACTACGAAATAAGTATCATGAGTGTGCATTTTTAGATGCTTTTGAATAGGAAGATTGATTTAGCTAGACATTAATTAGAAATTAAGGACTTTTACTTTAAACAAATTCTTAGTGTTCCAGAGTCTTCATATACTTAATTCCAAGCTAAGAGGTAGTTATGAAATATCTGTTATCATTAAAAATACTTTTACATTATGAGAGCAAGCCTTTTTTTCTGAACTGCATGAAACAATCTTGCAGTCTCCCTCTAACACAATCTACCTACAAAATTAAACTTTACAAAAGAAATATAATTAAAAGAACAGGTGATAATCAACTTGACATTCAAAATAAATGTAGTAGAGCAATACTTTTATAATTTTCTTTATCAAATCATAGCTTTTCCTCTTACCTCTTGAGAAATAAGCAAGAAATTGGCCACTGAATGAAAATGGTGTGAACAAAGAGTATACACAGAAAGGATGGTAGAAGGAGGTATATAAAAAAAGTGCTAGCAACATGACAAGGTAAAACATGTCTCTCAGTTTTCTTTTTTCTGTCACATCTTTACTTAAGTTTTGGTGGTAGAGGAAAAGAAAAGGAAACAAGCTTGTGAAGGTGACTTGTAGGGTAGAACAGGAAAGAATTTGGTCTCCCTTTTTCAACTTACCTGTAGTATTGCCACAGAAAGCAAAGGTAAAACCAAGAGAAACAAGAGGATAAATTTTCTGAGGCACCCAGTCTGCACACAATGAGAATCTATCATGAGGCTCCTGTGCCAGGGCGGGATTGCCATAGAGCATAGGCGAGGGTATGGGTTACTGACCAACAGGATACAGAACATGGAAGAAACTCAAGGGCCTCCAGCCAACTTCACAAGAAGTAAGGAAAAGCCTATCTGAGAGCTTGGCATCAGGCCAACATAAGGCTAAGCAGATGAGTGTATCCCACCATATCATACCCTTACCGACAACATCAAAAAAAGAGCACAAGAATGTAGAATGACATTGTCTCTTACCAACACGGTGTGTGAGGCACACACCATGGAGAAAAAGGTTATCTCTATATAAGAAAAACTAGTGCTTGAATTACATAACCGAATGAATTTACACTGAATTGGATAGTTCATTAATTCACTCCACTCCTATGAATAATCAGATAAAGGCTAAAAACAAAGCTTAGATTACATACATATAAAAATACAAACAACATTTTCTGTTTATCTAAATACAGTAATAAGTTAAATCACTTATCTCTGATATACATGGTAACTCAAACAAGCAAAATCAACGTGTACTCTACCTGTCTGAAGAGGTTAGGGAAGTCATCTGCATTGTTAACTTTTCTGATTCCCTTTCCTCCTCCTCCTTCTGAGGCCTTGATCATTACTGGATAACCAACTTCTTCAGCTGCCTTCAAGAAAAAAGAGAAAAAATATAGTCTTCAAAGATTAGGGAGATGGCTAACTCCCTATTTAGCCTTTCCAGAAAACCTAACTTCAGTTTCTTGCACCCAAACTAGGCAGCTTACAAATTACTGCAACTCCAACTCCAGAAGATCTGACACCCTCTGCTGGCCTCCAAAGAACCTGCACACATGTTCATGTAACTAAAATGAAAGGGTAAATCATAGGATGATTAACTTGAACTACAAACAATAGTGAACTCAACTGACATTCCAGACCCTCCCGAATTAATAGTATTCAAGTCAGACTAAAACAGTGTATCTTCCTAAGATGCCTTTTGTATCATCTACCAAGAGGCATTGTCTCCATGTATCATTGGGACCTTTAGCAGTGGCAGAACTTGTCACTTTATTTTAAAGTAATAAAATAATAGATTTTACTTATTTCTCCACAGCTTCATATGCCAAGCTGGCTCACCCTCAAGCTTCTGACAGTACACCTGTATCTGTATCTTCCTGTAGAAGTGTGCTGCAACCACAGAAAAATGCAAATACACTACTTTGTCAGGCTTTTACATGGGTTCTGGGGACTCTAGGACCAGGTTGTTAAGTGTACATGCCATTTAATGTCTTGACAGCTCCAATTAATTTTCTGTTTTGTTTTTCTAGACAGTTTCTCTACATAGTGCCAGCTTGTCCTGGAACTCTCTCTGGGTGGCCTCGAACTCTTGAGTGCTGGGATTAAAGGTGTGTGCCACCAATGCTCACTATAACTAGTAATATGAAGTATTATATAATATTATATGATATATATTGTATATATCATACAAGGCAACAGTTTTGGCATAGTTTCAAGCCCCACATAATCAAGACTTGTTAATTCAGAACTTCCAAACATCATTTTTTTCTTCATCCTTCCTTTCTTTTTTTTAAGTTTTTATTATTTTATGTGTATTGAGTATTTTTCCTACTTGTACCTCTGTGAATCACATGAAAGCCTGGGGCCAGAGGAGGCAGTGAGTCTTTCAGGTGGGTGCTGAGAATTGAACCTAGGTCCTTTGCAGCAAGTGCTCTTAACCACTGAGCCAACTCTCCAGGCCCCTGAACCTACGTTTTATAAAACATAAAAGCAATAAAATCTCAAAATATTATTAAAACCTGTCAGAAAACCAATTTTCAGCATGTGGTCCCAATGTCTCTTCATATTCTCAGCATTAATCATCTAGGGATGATACTAAAGTTCTCGTTACACTGGTTACAGTAGAGCCTTGGGTAAATCATAGGATGATTAACTTGAATTATATAAGAAAAAAGTGCACAACTAAGTGGAAGAGAAACACTGGAGGGAACCATGAGACAATAAAGGGTGAGGGTGGGGGCACATTTCTAATGGATAATAATTCTGAGTGATAATACTGTCACAGGGCCTCTCTTGCTTGACTCCTTTACTCCTCAAAAGAAAAAGTTATTCAACTGGCCAATTTGGAAAGAGAAATCGAGCATGCTTGCTCAGCCTCTTCCTCTGAAACCAGCTCACAGCACTGAACACATGCTCTTTCTGAATTCTCAGTCATATGCTAAGTTGAAGGATAAAAGCTGTCTATGGAGGGAAGTCTGGTTATTGAGCACTGCCAGTTAAGAGAGTGAGGGGGAGCCTAGCTAATTCCCCATAAATTTCACTGCTGCTATATACATAAGCCATGTTCACAAATATCTCTATAACAATATAGCTGACATCTACCTGCCTGGCCTCTCTGTCTTGATCCACAAGGGGAAAGGGATGGAGCTTCTGGCGTCCCTCACACACTAACAGCTGGCAGAGAGGAAGAACCAGTACCTCCTTAAAACATTGAATTAACACCCAAGAAATCCTCTGCAGGTGACCAGTCCCCTTCAAGACTAAACTAAGGTTAAAGTCACTTCCTCACTCCACACTTAAAGTATACTTGTCCTGGCTTTATAACCCTACACCTAGCAAGGGTGTATGTCATGAATCGGACCCCAAGTCCCCATATTTGTATCTAGAATTGACCACCCCTAGAGTCAGTACTTACCCTCAGTCCATCATCCACATCCTTCACATAGCCTTTCTCATACAGATCCTGTGGAACATTTAAGATGCGCTTCGAAAAATCATTTTCTTGCCAATCCACACGAAGACCTACAATACACAATAATGACCTGAGATCACCTATGAGAACTCATATCAATTTTTTGCCCACTCTCAAAAAAGGATGTGTAGTCTACACTGGCCTGATACTTGACATGTAGTGGAGACTGGTCTTGAACTTGCAATCCTCCAGCCTTTGCATCCTCAGTGCAGGGATTACAGACATGTTCCACACACTTGGCTCTGTGATACCTTCTTTTAAAGCTATTGTATTTACCAAAGATTGAAGGCAGATTGGTGGGGGGTAGAAGAATAATATAAAACCTTGATCAGTCCTTGGAGACAAGAGTATTCAGCTATAGCATGGGCAAGCATTTTGGGTTCTTAAATTAAAAAAAATCAAGGACAGTGGGCAGAGATCTAGATATAAAGATACAAGGATGGGGGTGAGGAGTAGAGGAAAAGGAAAAAGGAGAGAGAAAAGGAGAGAAAGAAATATGGCAGATTTCTCACAGCAACACACAGGCAATGTTTTCAATGTTTTCAGGCCTGCTCTGGGGCCAGAGGTCTGAGAAATAAATTAATCTTTATGAGCCTCTGGAAACAAAAATGGTGGTTTTATTGGTCTCAGCAGAGTCATGATTCCATGGTCCCTAAATGTCTCTGTATTCAGCTCCAAGGGGAACACTACAGCCTCTCCATTCAAACAAGAACAAATTCAGCCTTTTAAACTATTTGACCCAGAGGTCTGGAAAAGATATGGCAACGCTCTGGAGAGTCAGAAGAAAAGGGGATCAAATCTGTTCGGTCTCAAGATAATAGTCATTCCTATTTTTAAAAGGTTTTAATGTGTTTATTCCCTGTGAGTACATAAGGGGGAAGGTAGCTCTTATATTTGCTTAAAAATTCACATGACAATCTAAAGAATTGGCAAGGATAAATCATTTCTCAATTTTTATCCCTCTGCATGTTTGGGAGAAAGGTGACTACTGACCATATCTCTGCAAACCTGTCTTTGAGGATGCTTCCAGTCTACCCTACCCCTGCCAAAGTATGTTTCCTAGAGTTTCTCCAAATCAAGTCCCTGTATCATTCCAGATCTCAGTTTAGTGTTTGTACCTAGTACTCAAATTATATTCCTAAAATATGATAAAAACCACAAGAGTAAATAGAGAATGGAAAAGGAAGGCCTTTGACATTTGGGTCTTCACTCTGTATTCACACATATGACCATTTTATACCTAGGAAAACACCCACACATATACCCATATCATACACACATATAAGTATTAACAAACCAAAAAACAAGAAATAATTTCTTACCGCTGCCACTCCAGGGAAGAGTTGGGATGCCTGCAGTTTGAGCCACTATAGACGATGCAATCTTATCTCCCAAAGCCCACATAGCCTGGCTTGGAGGGCCTGAAAACAAAACAAAAGAGGAACCTTAACAGCAGCATCTCTGCCTCCTTTCTTGTCCCACTCATGCCAAATAGTGACCACCACGCTTTGACTCATCTTTGCATTGTTTCTAGAATCCAATGTAGTAAACTGGTTGCATATAAGGACAGCCCAACATACAGAAATTCTATTATTAAATTTCTTAAAAAAATCTAATTTTATGAGTCAAAATCCACATTAACCAAGTAACAAAGTCATTTCTCTAAATCCTAAAGTAAAGCTGGTAAAATTTTAGGATTTACGTATGAAATATACACAACTTGATCTTGGGAAACCTAACAAAGATATTTTTCCCCCTTAATAATGCTTACAAAGCATTGTTAGCATTGCAGAGGAGCCCTAGAACCCCCACTTTTCCTTCAGCTATGATGAGAGTAGAAAAGCAGGAAGAAATAGCTCTCACTGGTAGAATATAAATTATATGCTTCAAATACAAAGGTGCTAATTCATATTTAATTAGGGTACTATTAGGGTACCCTAAGTAATCAGTTAGTTTTACTATCAAAAACCAGGTCCTCCTTCTACATGTTTTCTTAATGCGAATGGCAAAGATTTTTAAACAGTCCATGTTTAAAAACCAGTCTTTTTCATAACTCAGATTAAACGACTCAGGAAAAAAAAATCTTCAAGATGAAATGAAAGAACTTCAACGTAAGTTGAAGTTAAATGAAAGAACTTCTAAAAACAAAAGTAAGACGACAGAATATGGACAAAACCGACATAAGAACTACAGGCACCGTGTAACTCAAAAGGCTTACCCATGAAAGCGATGCCATTTTTTAAGAGAAGCTCTGGAAGCTTGGGGTTCTCAGAGGCATGACCCCAGCCAGCCCACACTGCCTACAAAAACAGAATAACAATATGAATCATTCTTAAAGGTGATACTAAGAAGACTACAAATTGCTTTGCTGTATCCAGGCTGGCTCTATTAGATGTAGTATAACAGCTCCACAGCAGCCCAGGGTTTAATTCAACTTCTGTGATCTAAAACTAGCAAACCTTCCACAGAATAACAATAAGCAGTTGCTTGTGGCAAAAGCCCTCAAGAGAATAAAAAAACAAGTAGAATCAGAAAGATGAACTCAAGTCTTGCTCTTTAGGAAATGCAACTCACAATCTTAGAGCTTTCTAAAGAAAGCCTGAAAGCTGGGTGTGATGGTGTAAGTCTTTAATCCCAGCACTCAGGAGACAAAGGCAGGTGGATCTCTGAGTTTGAGAACATCCTGGTCTACAGAGTTCCAGGACAACCAGGGCTATACAGAGAAACCCTGTTTTTGTATTTTGATTTTTAAAAAGTAAAAAAGAAATGAAGAAAGGAGGGAGGGAAGAAGAAAGGAAGGGAGGGAGGGAAGGACGGACGGACGGACGGACGGACGGACGGAAGGAAGGAAGGAAGGAAGGAAGGAAGGAAGGAAGGAAGGAAGGAAGGAAGGAAATTGTGACAATCTTCACATTCTGGCCACCCAACTCTGCCTTTGTATCTAGTAGTGACATGGTCTAGCAAGTTTAGCACTGGTTCCCAACCTGTGAGTCGTAACCCATTTTGGATCACAAGATCTTTCCGCAGGAATCACCTACAACCATCTGAAAACAGATTCATTACAATTCATAACAGTAGCAAAACTAGAGTTATGGGGTTGTAACAAAAATAATTTTATGGTTGGGAATCACCACAACATGAGGGACTGTATTAAAGGATCACAGCATGAGGAAGGTTGAGGGCCACTGGTCTAGAGGATATTTCCCCCCTCGTTGGACTTTAAGATATTTACTATAAATTTCCAAGCACAATATGAAAACGAGAAAGAATCTTCCAAAACAGCACCATACTGTAGTTAAGATATTCTTCAGAAAATAGTCAAGTTCTTATTTGGGATGGCTTGAAGGTGAGATGCACAGAATAGGAAAAAAAAAATCTCTGAAAGATCTTCCAAACATTCTTTGTTTACTATGTTTATTTTTAACTATGCCTTCCCTTCCATTTCTTCTCTCCTTGTCTGTTTTAATTATTTCATATAAAGACATTTAAGAATTTTCCAGGGCTGGGAGAGAAGACTCAGCAGTTAAAAGAGCACTGGCTGCTCTTCTAGAAGACCTGGGTTCAATTCCCAGCACCCACATGACAGCTTCAGTTCCGGGAGACACAGGCAGACAAAAACAACAAACAGAAAATAAAAATACATCATCAAAAATTTTGAAAAAAGGACTTCACATTAAATTGTTTGAACAAGAGGTCTTCACTTTAAGTGCAAAGGGAGGAACTGGCTCCTCAAAGGCTCTTACTTGTACAGGGATCCTTTTAGCAATGTCAAGAATTAATTCCACATTTGCATAATTGTTGTTGTTTGGTCCTCCAGGCACGGGATCTACCATTTTAATGTATCCTGAAAACAAACAAATGTAAGGAAAACATAATTTTTCTTCCAAATTATTATGACATATCAAGACTATGGTAAAGATAGAGACTACCTTCAGTAGCCACAGAAAACATGGCATTGAGGTGATAATTTCTGCATCATTTCATTGGAGGTTCTGATTTTAAACCACACATTTAGGAATCACTGAATCAGCAGCTGTTAAACCTTTCACTGTAAAGTTTGTTTTGCTCGTTTCCTCGAGGACGGAAGCAAGGTAATTACAAGAGTCAAACAACACGCTCAGGAAGTAATAACGCTATTTTTACAACGTCAAGTTCAGGCAATAGTGATACAGCTGCAACTCCCGCATCCAGAAAGTGCCGGAAAGAAAATGCCAAGTTTGCCATCAGCCTGGGCCACAAATGTTTAAAACAGGTCGAAATCATCAAGTGTCCATCTCAGAGATAACTAGAGCATGCTCTAGCACTTCTGTAACTTATATAACCATAAACTGGTGGTCCTCAACCTTCCTCATGCTGTGACACTTTAATACAGTTCTTCATGTTGCGGTGACCAGCAACCATAGAATTATTTCATTGCTACTTCCTAACTGTAATGAATTTTAATGCTAATTATAATGAATTTGTTACTGCTATGAATCATAATGTAGGTATCTGATATGTGACCCCCAAAGGTGTCACGACCCACAGGTTGAGAACTGCTGCAATAAACTGTAGTCAGTTTAACAACACATTGTGAGTATCTTCCATGTTCTGACAAGATGTAATTTTATGTAATACAATTTTGAAATGAGTACTTAATATTTCAGTAGTCCATATTCCATTTATAATATTGATGAAAGCATAAGAATACTTGAAATTTGAAAATTATTAAGATAATATATATCCTGGGGCCTGGAAAGATGGCTCAACAGTTAAGAGGATTTGCTTTTCCTGCAGAGGACCCAAATTCAAATTCCACCGCATACATAGCAGCTCATAACCATCTGCAACTCCAGTTCCTGGGAATCCAATGCTCTCTTCTGGTCTCCATGGGCACCAGGTATACTTACATGCATGTGAGCAAAACACTCACACACATAAAGTAAAATCTTAAAATAGTAAGTATTATATATCCTTATAGCAATGTACAATTTATCTTTGAGATGTGTCCTACGAGTAAAACCATTAAGTCAAACAATATTCACATTTTTTTTCCCAGAGCTGAGGACTGAACCCAGGGCCTTGCGCTGACTAGGCAAGTCCTCTATCACTGAACTAAAGCCCTATCACTCACCTCCTTTAAAAATTTGTTTATTTTATGTGTATAACTAAGCAAGTATATGTACAGCATATGATTGCCTGGTGCCCATGGAGTCCAGAAGAGGGCAATAGGTACTCTGAAAGTGGAGTTACAGATGGTTGTGAACCACCATGTGGGTGCTGGGAATTGAATTTGGGTCCTCTACAAGAATAGCAAGTGCTCTTAATCACTGAGTCACCTCTGCAGCCTGCAGATATTCACATTTTTATATTTTCATTAGAAATATAAATGACAAATCAGGCCAGCAAGACAGCTCGTTGGATACAAGCTCTTGCTGTGAAACCTTACATCTTGAGTTAGATCCCTAGTACTCACATGACAGAAGAGAACTGAATCCCACAAGTTGTTCTCTGACCTACCTACACACATACACACACACAGAGTAAATAAATGTAGAATAAAACTGAATGTTTACACTTCCATCTGTACTATATATCTTTTCCAATTGTGACACTATCTACCACAGTTTGGATTTGTATTTCTCTGGTTATCAATGACACAGAATCTCTTTCTGTATGTTTATTACTCTTTTTGTATCTTTTCCATTTTTCTTTTGAATTTATTTTATTTTATTGATTGCTATATGAGATGGAAGTTTTTCTATGCTACACAGACTGGATTTGAGTTCCTAGGATCAAGCACACTTCTTGCTTCAGCCTTGAGTACCTGGGACTACAGCCTATGCCACCTCACTTGCATTAAGTCTTCTTTTATGGAATACTTATTCATAATCTCCACATTTTTTGTATGGAAGCATGTTTTCCTCTTATATTACAAGTAGAAACTGTTGCCAGTGTTTTTCTCATATTATTGTCTGTCTTAAACATATCTGTACTTTGGCTGCAAAATAGCAATTAAAATTTTTTGAGATTTTGTTGTGTGTGGATGCTTTGCTTGTATTTATGTCTGTACAACATTTGTATGCCATGTCTTAAGAAGCCAAAAGAGAGTGTTGTTTGTTAGTTAGACTTACAGTTTTCCTTAGTTAGAAAGGCAATCAGCTATAAAACTTTAGACTCACAAGATAGATAATAGAGCATTTTCTCTAAATTTGTCAAATACAAATGGACTGCATATTGTAACCGTAATTCTTACTTGATAACTGTTTTAGTTTGTTTTACAATGTTTAAATTAAAATCTTCCTTTTTTAATTAGGCAAAAGGAAAATGTTGTAAAATAATATTTTTGTACACTCTGAAGACATGTAGCTATTATTGATTTAATAAAGAACTATATGGCCAATAGCTAGAGCAGGAAGTTAAATAGGACTTGCAGACAAGGAGTTCACTCACTGGGATGAAGTATGGTGGAGTCGCTAGGAGACTGGGGAGAAGAAAGATGAACGCACAGTCTTGAAAAAAGGTACTGAGACATGTGGTAGAATGCAGATAAAAAATATGGGTTAATTTCAGTTGTAATAGCTAGTTAGTAACAAGCCTAAACTATCGGCCGAGCATTTATAATTACTTAAGTCCCTATGTGGTTATTTGGGAGTTGGCTGGTGGGATAGGAAATTCCTCCTATACTTGTATCATACCATCATCTGCTCTTCTTTCTGCCTGGTATACTCTTCACTGTCCCCTAACTGTCACAGCTCTTACCTATTCTTGGTCAGGCAGTTCTTTAAGAAAGTGTCTTCTTAACCATCTTCCCAAACACTAGATGTCTCATTTCTGTGTTCTCATAGAACCCTCTTATATGTTGCTATCACAGCCTTTATCTCATTATATTAAACATTGGTTTCCTAGAGCAAGATCACATCTTATTCCTATTTATCTCCATGTTTGTGGAGTGATTAAATAAATGACTTGTACGTACACCAGGTACAAATGGACTTATGAAAAAGAAATCCAATAAAGTAGTTTATATTTAGTATATAAAATCTCATCTCTATGAACTTCCTTTTTCAGATACAAAAACTGTAATGTTGAGAGATATTAAAGGATGCAGCTAAATGATTTCAGATACCAACATTTGCTTTTCAGCAATTTGTGACATCTCTGTTTTTAAATAAGATTGCATGGTAACTTCTACTTCTTAGGAATTGTCTTAATTTTAATAACACTGTCAACATGTAGACCACATTTACAAACCAAAACAGGCATTAAGAGGATAGCCTATTTTCTCATCTGTGGGCCCCCTGCCTTAAAACAGTGATTAAAAAGTATATAAAAGGTACTGGAGAGATAGCTTAGAGGTTAAGAGCACTTCTTGCTCTTGAAGAGGACCCAAGTTCTGTTCCTAGCATCCACAAGAAGGCTAGCAACTATAACAGTTCCAGAAAATATGATGCCCTTTCCTGGCCTCTACAGGCCCTGCACACACACGGTACAAACATATATGTAGGCAAAATACTCACATGCATAAAATAAAAACAGATTTTTAAAAGGGGGTGGGCTGGGATACACACCTTTAATCACAGAAGTTCAAAGGCAGAGGCAGGCAGGTCTCTGTGGTTTACATAGTGAGTTCGAGACCTGCCAGGGCTACATGCTGAGAATCTGTCTCAAAAAAAAAAATTGTATCGAAAACCCATTTGGGTTCCAACATGTCTCTCCCTCAGTGGTCAGAGGAAAAATGGGAAAATTTATTCTAAAATGCTCTCTAATTCAGGCATGGCAGCACACACCTTTAATCCCAGCACTCAGGAGGCAGAGGCAGGCGGATCTCTGTGAGTTCTAGGATAGTCAAAGATACACAGAAAAACCCTGTCTCAAAAAAAAAAAAAAGGTAAAATGTTCTCTAATTCCATGTATTTCCATCCCAACATTTTCAATTAGACACACTAACATACATGACCTAACAAATACCTCATACTGAAAAAGTCATACACCTTTTAGTCCAAATACTTGTTTTTAAATTTTTCACTACTTACCTCAGACCACAGGGACCTTTGTGTAGTCACTTTTGTGCCTCTAGTATTGATATATTTTATTACGTGGTTTTTCTTTTTTTAACTGACACCTTTTTAAAAGAGAAATCTTTGCATAGAATTTCACTGGCAATCTTGGGCTTGGGAAACTCCCTAAGGTAACATTCTCCTACTTACAGGCAGATCTATTCAATGTTTTATATCTAAAGTGACATAAAGCTAGAAACTCACCTGCATTGGCTTTAAGGTCTTCAGGTGTAACCATGACGACAAATCGAATTGCACGTTCATTTCGAAACATTTCATAAGACCACCGACGAATAGATCTCATGCATTTCACTGCGGCAATACCATTATTGGCAATAAGAACCTAGGAGGAAAGGATATCATATGGAAAATGAAGGAAAATATAGCAAAGAAAGGCAATGATAGAAAAACAAAGATTTTTACACATCTCTTTGTCTGAAAAAGAATTTCAAGCAAAAACTGTAGATAGTCTAAACTGCTGAGAAACAACTCTTACAAGATCAAGCAATATTTCTAAATGATTGCTATGCAAATATTTCAACATGTGCTTGGTGTAGGAGGTCCTCCTGTCCATATATTGCTTTCATTGGTTAATGAATAAAGAAACTGCCTTAGCCTAGTTGATAGGGCAGAACTTAGGTAGGCGGGGAAAATAGAATTGAATGCTGGAAGGAAGAAAGGCAGAGGAGGAGAGGAACGCCATGGAGCCGCCAAAGACACATGCTGAATCTTTCCTGATAAGCCACTGCCACATGGAGATATACAGATTAATAGAAATGGGTTAAATCAACATGTGAGAGTTAGCCGATAAGAAGAATTAGCTAGAACTAATGGGCCAAGCAGTGATTTAATTAATGCAATTTCCACAAGATCTTTCAAAAGAACATTACAAGCAGAGTTTCAACCCCTTATCAACTATGACCAAATTACCAGCATTAATATATATATTAATAAATATATGAGATATATAATAAGTAAACTGTGAAATTATGTGTATTAGTAGCATGTTAGGGAAAAAAGAAGGACACTCATACATAAAAAGGCAAAGTCCCTAAAAACCTAAATACCATTTTGAACAAACCAAAACAACAAATCTAGGCATTAAGTCTCATATACTTTAGGCAAAATTGTTTAGTAAGCTGAACCTTACCTTCTCAATCACTTTATTTCCCCCAAAACGAGTAACAAATTCTGCTGGAGAAGCCACAGTGAAATCTCGCTGAGAGTCTATTTTCTTTCTGTCTCGACCTTGTTTTACTAGGTGCAAGCCAGACATGCTGGATCTATAGAAACAGAGAAGCCATGAGAAGCTTTGTAGAGGATTTGCTCACCACACTAGTGTCTTCTGAAAACCTTTCTTCTATCATACAACAGTACTTCCCAAAAACCGTTGTGGAAATCTACACCTTGTAGATCACAGGAAAGGAAACAGCCTCAGTAGATGCAATAAAAGGATAAAGCCTGTCATCCCAGCTTTGAGCCAATAAGACTGTCTAGAGCTCTGAGCCAATAAGGGCTAAAGAGTGAGACTCTTGTCACAAACATAAAAACAAGGGGCGGGAAGGGTGACTGAGTAGGTAAGAATACTTACTGCTCTGACAGAAGACCTGATTTCAGTTCCCATCCCAGCACCCACATGGTGGCTAATGCAATTCCAGGGGATTAGACACCTTCTGACCTCCATAGACACCAGACACACATGTGGTACACAAACATACATTCATTCAAAACACTCATACACGCAAAATAAATCTAAAGAAGGGGCAGAGATGTTGGAGATTTAGTCCAGCTATAGGCAAAATACTTGTCTAGCAAGCACAATGCCCTGGGTTCAATCACTAAGTATGAAAAGGGGTAGGAGACACTCCATTAAAAAAGAAAACTGACCAGGCAGTAGTGGCACACACCTTTAATCCCAGCACTCGGGAGGCAGAGGCAGGCGGATCTCTGTGAGTTTGAGACCAGCCTGGTTTACAAGAGCTAGTTCCAGGACAGGCTCCAAAGCTACAGAGAAACCCTGTCTCAAAAAAAAAAAAAAAGGCAACAACAAAATGGGCTAGAAAGATGGCTGGAGAAAGACACATACTGCTCTTGCAGAGGACCACAGTTCAGTTCATAGTACCCATGTCAGAAAGGTCGTGAATACCTGTATTCTCCAGACCAAGGGACAATTAAGCAGAGTAGTTATGTAGGTGGAGGACAGAAGAAAGAGTTAAGAAGCCATACAGTTAGACATAGGTTACTGCTAAGGACCTATCTTTATTTTGTGTGCACAGATTTTTTTAATTCTTTTTAGATTATTTTTAACCTAGCAAGATGGCTCAATGGGTTAAAGTATTTGCCCTGCAAACCTGAGTTCAATCTATAAGACCCACATAAGGTGGAAGGGAAGAATCGATTCCAGAAGTTGTCCTCTGACCTCCACTGTGTACTGTGGCATAAACATTCAAACACATATCACGCATACAACAGTAAATAAAAACTAGGCTATATGTAGAGCAGTGTGTCACAAAAAGGGGATTATATGATTAAATAATTTTTGCCAGGCATGGTGGCACATGCCTTTAATCCCAGCATTCAGGAGGCAGAGGTAGAAGAATCTCTGAGTTGGAGGCCAGTCTGGTCTACAGAGTGAGTTCCAGAATAGCCAGGGCTATACATAGAAACTCTGTCTCAAACAAAAACAAACAAGCAAAAAAAAAAAAAAAAA